CAACACCATCAACAGATACAACAACAACACCATCAACAGATACAACACCAGTACCATCAAGAAATACAACAACAGCATTAACAAATACAACAACACCATCAACAATTCATAATAATATTACTATAAATTCTTCACAAATGCGGATCATTTCACAGATAAATCTAAATGGTGTTCAACGTCTCATTATCGCAGATGGTAATAATTTTTTTTCAGTAAGTAGCTATTTGCCTTAAAATTTCATGGCTTCCTTAATATTTTTTCTTCTAAAACAATTTAGATAACGGCACAATCAAAAACGAATACAAACTAAAAAGTTGAACCACGTGAAAATAGAATTATTATTAATTCTTTTTTTTTTTATTAACATTTTTTTCATGTCTACAGGGTGTCTGAAAAATAGCTACTTATTTTAAATTCCTTTTTATTCTTTAACAAGAACAGATAATGTATTAATTTATTTTTACTACTTTAAAGCATGGTTGATGAGATTTTATTTTAAATAAAAAACAATGTTAATGGATTGACTGTATAACATTATACACAAATCTCATGTAGAGAATGCTGGAACAATAACTTCTGATTTTTCATCGTTTATTACTTTTATACAAAGCATGTATTGTAATAATTTTTTCACTGTTTTGACGTGTGTATAATAGCGTTACGCGATAAAGTCTCAGAAATAGCCGTGACGGTATCACATTTCAAAAAAAATGGAAAAATTATTACAATATATGCTTTGTATAGAAATAATTAACGATGAAAAATAAGAAGTTATTTTCCAAGTATTCTCTACATGAGATTCGTGTTTGATCTTAGACAGTCAACCGGTCAACAATCTTTCGTGTCTAAAACAAAACTTCATCAAACATGCTTCAAAATAATAAAAAAATTAATCCATTATCTGTTCTTATTAAAAAATGTAAAAGAATTTAAAATAAGGAGCTATTTTTCAGACACGCTGTAGTATTTATTGATAAAACAATTTTGTCATTTATTTTTGTCTATTCACTCATTGTATTTTTCTTATATCTCTTTCCATCATTATAAGTTATTTTTTGTAATTTGTATATGAAGCTACTAAATAAAAATATAGTTTACTTCACAGATATTGTGTTTTATTGATGTTGTAAACGTTATTCTAATGAAAAATTTTGACATGAAGAATAATGAATCTTTATCTACGTAAGTCTATATTTTTATGATATATGGTCGGAATATAGAGAAGGAATATCTCGTTTGAGAATTGGTTGAAATTTTTTATCATTAGCGACAACTATTTCACTTATGAATGCGATGAATATAGTTGGGTATAAGACGGATGCATGGACGCAATTTATGCTCACACCAATTTGTGCTCACTTCACACAACCGCTATAAGAGCCAAATAATTAACTTATCATCAATATTAGACTGTAGTATTTTATTGTTAAATGAACGAATGCATCTTGTATGCTCTCGTATGATCGCAACAGGTTCTTCTTGTTGCAATCATACAAGAGTCCACAAGATGTATTCGTTCATTTAACAACAAAAAAATCGGAAAAATGAAATGTGATACATTTTTTTGGAACACGTTGTACATATGGAAAGGAAGAGAAACAATATAATGATGGTATGAAACGGCAGATGGCGTCCCATAACAGATATCACATGAACGAAACGACATGTATGTCTCTGCATATTTCCGATTAAACAATAAGGTAACCAATGAAAATCGACAGAAGTACAATCTTGTTTGTTTCTTTTTTAGCACTGCTTCGCATAGAATAAAAAATGACGTTTTCGATGATGAAACGGACATAAAAATTGATGTAGTTCATTTTAATTAATGAAAATGAACTACATCGATTTTTATGTCTATTTCATCATTCTTATGATTTTTTTTTCATTTTTTAGTTCTCTGAACTTACTACAATTTAAAAAATCATCATGATGACAACTGATCCTGACATGTTGGAAAAGTGTGCTCAAATCGTCGCCAATGCACGACATATAGTTTGCTTTACTGGTGCAGGTATGTCGGCAGAATCTGGAATTGGAACTTTTCGAGGTGGAAGTGGCTTATGGAGCGGTGCTCTCGGTTTTATTGTATTGGGATGGTTTGGTACACCAATTGGTTGGAAATGGACTCCAGGCATTGCTTGGAGTCAATATATTGACAAATTTTATAATCCAATACGTGACGCACAACCAAATGAAGGTCATAGAGCACTCGCACGTTTACAAGAAATATATCCTGATATGTCTATCGTCACACAAAATGTAGATGGTTTACATCAGAGAGCCGGTTCTAATCCTGATCGGGTGTTTGAAGTACATGGAACTGTTAGACGTAGTCGATGTATTACCAACGGTCATATTTATGATTTTGGGGAAGAAATAAATCTTCCAAGGAAGTCTCCTATGTGTCGTGTAGAAGGATGTAGTTCTACTTTACGTCCTGATTGTGTATTGTTTACAGAAAGTTTACCCACAGATCAATGGATGGGTGCAGAGTTAGCAACGCGACAATTGGGACCCGGTGATGTGATGATCATTGTTGGTACTTCTGCTCAAGTGTATCCTGCTGCTGGATTACCAGAATCGGCGACACGAAGAGGCGCCACATTAATCGATGTAAATTTAGAGAGAACAAATTTTTCTCGTTTGAAAAATTATGAATATTTGGGTGGTACTGCTGCAACAAGTTTACCAGCGCTGGTTAAGAGAGTAGAGCAATTGAAGAAAACAACGAATGTTGAACATCCGGAACACTTGTCGTGATTTTTTTTTCACAATAAACTGTTTGTCAAAAAAGTTCAAGCTTTGTTATAATACTGACATTATAAAACATTTTTTTCTAAACTAATTTCAATCATAGATTTTCTTTTTTTTTGTAAAGTTCTGTAATATTATTAAAACATCTAAATAAAGCAGACAACAGCCACATCGTCAACAAAAGTACAATCTTCGATAAATAACTGCAATGAGATCATCATATTCAACACTTAAAAGATAAAATGACCAACCGACTATCTCTTCGTTTCATCATCAAACTGATAGGTGGTGGCTAAGTCTAGATCAGCGATTATGGAATGAATTGAGATATAGATGCTGGAATCGTATTCTGTTTGTTCGTATAAGATCATAAACTATACATAGGGAGATGAATCATCTATCTTGAGGAAATATCCAACAAATGATCTAGGTAGAACGGCGAAATAAATCCCACTAAACATCAGTGGCGGCGTGGCCTAGTGAGGCTTGAGTTTGAGCCTCACCGAAATTTTGAATTTGAGACTTGGTTACTTGCCTGTAACCTCAAGCTTGCTTGCAATAAAAATCTTATTTTATCGTAAAAACTGAAATGTGTGCTAGTTTATGTGAATGTTCTAATGAAGAAAAAAAGCTTGAATATATAATAAACATAGTAACTCAACAATTCATAGCAGCACCTTTTGTTTACATAGAATGGTGTATACATGAAATGAATGGTAGCATTATGCGATAGCATGCACAAAAAAACTAAGAGAAATTTCAGAGATCATTTTCTCTTTTGGGAATATAATTTTTCATTTCATGTTGCGAAATGTACAGTCTTTAAAATTTTGTAAAACTTGAAAAAAGTGAGAAGAATTTGATTGTTGAGATATTGGAAGCAGAAAAATATCAGCAACATTTTGCTAAACACTCACAAAATCCGACTTCTCTTCAACATACCGTACCTCCACAAGTAAAAAACAGTTGTTACTGGAAATTTCAGGACAATCTAAATATCGTATCAGCTATTTATGAGCAAATTCCCAGTCAAAAATTCTTTTGTTTCGATTTTTTCTGCAGGTCGAATATCTCATGGAAGGAACATTTTCTTTATGATGATGTTCTGCGTTAGTAAAATGGATTAAAATTTCCAAGATGGTTTCACCAGATACCTTAAGACTATATTTAACAATATCACTTAAAAACTAAAGCTGCACGTCGCTTATATGAATCAAAAAATCTTAGAAAAGAAATGTGATACTAAAAAATTATGAGTCGTAAAAGGTTTATTGTTAGGTTTAGGAGGGTGTGGGTGTGGGTGTGGGTGGGTGTGGGTGTGGGCGTGGGTGTGGGTGTGGGTGTGGGTGTGGGTGTGGGTATGAATATATAGAAGATGAATACCCACACCCACACCCACACCACACCCTCGATATTACTTTGAATCATTCTACATATACACACTTTATAAACCCTGGTAAGGTGAATTTAATATGATACGAGGTATACGTAAGAAATTAGAAAGAAAAAAATGGTTTATTAGAAGGGTAAAATAATATTAATGTTAAATTAGTTTTCATAAACAAGATTCATTAAGGAAAAAAAAGCAAAAATATGTTTTTTGTTTATTTGTTTGTTATGGTTGATATAACTCAGCACTATTCAAATAAACACTACTATTGTATCCACCAGCCACTAACACTTTTCCATTTATTAATACGGATGCTGTGTGAAGCTCTCGAGCAGTACTCATACTGCTAGTGTTTGTCCACATTCCTGTTGACGGATCATATAATTCAGCACTATTCACAGAACCACTATTGCGTCCACCAGCCACTAACACTTTTCCATTTGTTAATACGGATGCTGTGTGAACGTATCGAGCAGTACTCATACTGCTAGTGTTCGTCCACATTCCTGTTGACGAATCATATAATTCAGCCCTATTCGAAGA